TCTAAATGCAAACAGCTCAGAAGTGACCTGTAGTTTAATGAGGAAGTGACACACTGCAGTATTTTAGGAAACACTGTGAGGTGGTATTAGATTGTACTTTAAAATGCTCCTCTAAAGGCTGTCAAAAACCACTGTACCAGACTCTGGAGACAAAGGACAGTCAATGAGACTTCACATTCAGCTGAATCAAATTTCAAGAGGCAAATGCACTTGCAGTATTTTGTGCCATCAAAACCTGTTTCAGTGCCACTGAGAAAGGCCCTCAGCCCAGTCTGTGCTTCCTCCTCCCCCTGTGTGACCAGCATCCAAGACATTTGCAAGGTTTTCTCCGAAGGAAGCTTCAGGGGGAAATCTGCGTACAAAGCCCTTAATTGTGGTATGATTTTATTTTGGCAATATCCTCTTCATTACAAAACACTTTCACTGGTCTCAGCTCTGCAAACACCCAGCTCTCCCCACACCTAAAGACTCCAAGAGCTGCTGCAGACTCCGGAAGGATCTGGAGCAGAGGATCTGTGCCGTGACCAACCGTGGCCAAAGCAAGTCACAGCCTGACTTTGAATTGCTTTTCAAACTTCTGCAAATCTTTATTTAAAGATCAGTCATGGTCCAGCCAGCACAACGGCAGCTCTGCAGTCTATTTCCTAATCTCCCAGTACTTGAACAGCCAGGAAAGGGAAAGGGAATGGCAGCTTCCTGGACACAAGGCAGTCCGTTCAGATATCCTTAAAACTACCTGAGCTCTCCTTTACCACTCTCCATCCACCCAGCACAACTGGGTACTTGAAGAACAGTCCCTACTGCTCATCTGCCACTTGGATCACTTGTTCCAGCCATGCCAAAAGCCATGAAGCCCAACTACTGGCAAATACCAGGCAGATTTTCCTCTCCTCCTACCAGCCTGCTCCTCGTGAAGGAAATTCCCCTAAAGCTGGTGCTGGCCAGCACAGAAAGCTCCACACAAGCCAAATCTCCTCAGCTACATTATGTGCTCCCCCTAAGCTGCACAGAGAATCCCAAAGCCCAACTCTTTCATGCTCACCCTACTCCAGCACTGTTCCCCACCTGAACCCTCTCCAACAGCCCTGATTTTTAGCTGGTTATTCTTTTCCCTTTCCAAAATCCTTTGATGCACCTTCACCCCAATAACTATTAGCCTCCTGCCACATCTTCTGAGATGGAAAAGAGTTGGTGTCACCTCCCCTCCTCACACAGCTCCACACTGGAGCTGTTTCCAGAAGGCAAGAACAGGGTTTGGGGATGAGGGAGGGCAGCATCCCAAGGTCTCTGTGCTCTGACTCCCCTCTGCCACCCTCTCATATGCTGGCAAGATGACCTAAAGGGAAGGCTGACATTACTCTTCCTTCATTCTACCAGAAATCCTCCTTCAGCAGAGGGAGGTTGCTGCAAGTCCCCTGGATATTTTGTCTCACCCAAAAGCAGGGCTCACCTCCTGATCACAGGAAACACCACCCTGGGTTTAGCATCACCCAGTTCCCTGCGACCAGAGATCAGAACACAAATCCCTGTATTTTCCTCCCTACTCCACGTTGTTTAGGCTCATGGCATTGCTTTATCTTTAGATCACCGGCATTTTCCAGGCTGCAAAGCAAATGAATGTCTGGAATACTCACATCCACAGCTGGCAATGACAGTATCACGTTCCCCACCACGGAGCTGCAGGAGCACTGGGGAGGCATTAGCAGCTTCAATCACCAATCACCTCCAACCCAAACACATAAGCAGTGAGCAGAATGTAAAATTTGTGCCCTCTGAGCCAAGCACTGCAGTCAGAGGGAGATCTAAATGCATCTGTTGGACTCTGGAGATCAAAAAGACTTGTCAGACCTCCCTCCCCCCAGTAGCACACAGGCCCATTAGGGATCAGCACTGGCCACAGAAATTATCTTTCTGCCCTGCAGCTCATAATCAGGTGCCAAGTGTCCTAATTACAGCAGGAATTCTTTTTCCATCTGGGAAAGAATTTAAAAAAAGTAATCATCCCTCTCAATTTATTAGATACAAATATATGGTTTAATTTATGTTTCAGTGGTGCCAAATCTAAGGAGCATCTTCATTATTTAAAGTTTCACAAGGTATTTGGTTCTTATAATCCAGCACCATCTCCTCTCCCTGGCAGACACTGATATCAACCAAAGCTCTGAAAACCCAAAGTGAAAGTGAGACTGACCATCAGTCACTGTCCCATAACCAGACAAGAATGCTCAATGGGAGTTGTAAAGATCAGAACTGTGCCAGAACATGACACTCAGAACCAGAAACGAAAGCAACTCGGGAAGTTCTGCAGTAAACAGAGTGAGGAGACTGACCTGATTTATGTCCCATTGCTCCTCTCCAGGCTCGAGGTTTTAAAAAAGGATAAGCCTACTCATGTATAGATTTTAAGATTATATCTACAGGCAAAGAGCAACAGAGCCCAGATGGACAGGAGTCTCAAGGGGCCCTACTCCTAATATTGCGTGTTGTTTTAAAGTTCTTTTACTGCTTATACTAAAGGTCATAAAAAAACTTTAAAAAGAACGCACAATATTAGAGGACGAACTCACCCTTATAAGATTGCTCCAACTCTACCTCAAGGTGCAACTGACCTCCCCAGCAAAGTACAGGCTGGGATGTGAGACAGGGGGCAAGGCAGCAGCAACCTGGAAAAACAAGGGATGTATTACAGACGTGTTGAAACAGCCCTTGAGCTCCTGGGGGAGGTCAGTGAAAAAGCATTGTAGAAGATGCTGAAAATACCTTTATTTTTGGGACACTTTTTACTGTGGGCAAATCTGTGCTGTTAATGGTTCCAGATTTTGCACCCACAACGAAGATACATGTCCTTAAGTCTCAGGTAAGCAGCAGCTGTGCTCTTACCACCCGAGCATCCAACATCCCGCTGTTAGAGCCAAGGTAAAGAGCCCACGTCGCCCCTATTAGGAATTTACGTGGTGAAAGACAGCTGGGAGGCCACTCTGGATTTGGATCCTGCTTCATTCCCCCTCGGAGCATCCCTGGGAGCCCACAGAGGGTAACATCAGCCAGCCATGTGCGCCATGGCCCGGGGAACCTGCTCCGTGTCTCCTCTCATTACATCTTCAAAAAGAAGGGAGTTATTTTTAAGACAAAAAGCAAAGAATAAGGATTGCCCCTTTGCTCTTTCAGTCCCAAGAACTCAGAGCTTGTCCTCAGGGGACTTGTGTTATGTTGTGTTGACGCAACAGGACAAGCCTTGTAAAACTCTCTCCCATCTGTTGCAGCAAAACTTACTTTTTTATATAGAGAGGCTTTAGTTTCACAGTTGTATCAGTGAAGGGAAAGTGATACGGAACTGACCAAGCATAGCAAGAATACATGAGCCAAAAAAAAAAGCCTTCTACTCCCAAACACAAGGATTCCCCTCTCTGCCTCACACCCAAAGAAGTCCATCACTATTATCCAACACACATCCCAGCCAAACAGCCAAGTCAGCTCCGTGGAGATAATCTGTGCTAAGGATTCAACACAGTGTTTATTAAGCTAACGGGACAAATAGCAAAGTGTTCTTGCAGTTTAAGGTGGCAGCACACCTGTACTTAGTCACGTTTCCAATGTAAGCACACCCTTGGAGGCAGGAACAGGACAGCAAGGGATAGCAGGGATGTTGTCAGCTGCAGCAGGCAAACAAGCACTGAGCCCCCTCGATTCTGGGGGCAGCTTCCTATGAGAAACAGCAGCAAAGAAACTCAAATCCTGCTTCAAGATGACAGCCCAATATACAGATGCTCATTTCAGAAGAGCCCCTTTAGCTGGGAGTGCCCTAATTTGAAACAAACTAATTCAAAACCAAAAAGATCAAGTGCTGGGGAAAACCCACTGCTCTTCTTGTGCACCAGGAGCCCCGTTTTGGAGCCAGCTGTCACACCCCTCATTCTCCAGGACCCAGCACATCCATCCTGCACCAGACAAGGTCAAACTCTGCCCAAATCGATGCGTTGAAAAAAAAAGGAGGAGACTTCTACCTTGAACTAAGCTCCCTTTTGTCAGCACATGCTGCCCACCTCCCCTACCTCCCCAAAATCCACGCTGGTCAGTGCAAGGGCAGGTGATGTGCCCGAGGTGCACATGAACACTCCCCGAGCCCCAGACAGGGAAGCTGTTGGGAAAAACAAGGTCACCAGCCAGAGAAAAGTTTTGAGCGTCTCCCAAACCTGCTAAAAAAACGCTCTCCGAGGTTTGCTCAGCCGAGTTTCGCCTCCTGCCTCCCCAAAAGCAACAGCCTTTGCTGCAACCCGGCCTTTCCAGCACCGAGATGGGTGTCAGAGGCGCAAGAGGCGGAAAGCACCGGGTCCATCCCCAGCGCTGGGCCGGGCTGGGATAACCGGCGGGGATGAGGAGCAGCGGGAGGTTCAGAGCTGATGGAGATTCCCAGTGCGAATCCTCCGCGGGCAAAGGTGTCGGCAGCAGATGCCCTGGGAAGGCGGGAGGATGCCAGAAGCTTCTCCAGCCGCTCAGGAGGCGCCTGAGGAGCGACGGGGAGGGGAGAAAGAAACTTGAAAAGAGAGGGAACTTACTCCGTGATCTTCTTCGCCAGCTCGGTGGAGGCTGCCGTGGAGTTGGCCGAGAAGACCCGGTAGCCACTTCTGGCCGCGTTCATCGCCAGAGAGTCATGCAACCCCCGCGGAGCTCGAAAGTGGGAAAAAACAGATTTATAAGGCAACAACAGCTTCCGTGGCATCCTTTTCTTCCTCTCCGCCGCGATCGCCGCCCCTTAAGGGGTGGGGAGGAGGAGGAGGAAAGGGAGGGGGGGAGCCCTTCCCGCTACCTATGGACTTGCTGCTGCGCTCCTATGCAAAGGGAGGGTGGAAATTATGAATATTACAATAAAACGGAGCAGCAGATGCCTTGGTGGGGCGGGGGGCTTGGAGGGGTGGGCAGGCAGCAGTTAACCGCAACCCACACCTACCCCGTGCCCACCCAGTGTCCCCTCACGCACCGGGGGAGGGACGACCCCCAAAATGAGCGGGGGTAATAAGGCGGAGAGGGGTTGCCTTGGCTGGGGGAGGTGGGGCGAGCTGAGGGGACACAGGGGGTTTGTGTGTGAGGCAGCAGGGCTGGACAGGGGCCTCTGTGGTGGGATAGGGGGTCACTGGGAGGCGGGGGAATCCTTGGAGCGCACGGTCCCCTCCCGCTCCCCTCACCCAGCGCAGCGAGTTCAGCCACACGGCCAGAGCGCCGCTCCTCTCCGCCGCCATCTTATCGGCGGGAGAGCCCGCCCCCTCGCCATCTTAGGTGAGGGCACCGCAGCCGCACTCCCCCCTTACAGCGTCCCCTCACCTACTGCTCCAGCAGCGCCGGTACCTCGGGAGGAGAGCGGCGGGAGCGTCCCTCTTCGGGGGACAAATACACCTCCCGCTCCGCGAGGGCGGTTCGCAGCGCGGCCGCCTCGCGCTTCTGCGCGGCGGCGCGGGACACGGGTTGAAGGCGGGGGTTAAAGTGCCCGTGCCTAAGATGGCGGCGGGGGAAACGGAAGTGCGGCGGCGGCGCTCTGGCCGCGCTCTATGGCGGGCGAGGCGGGAGGACCCGCCCGCCCCGCCGGCTCCAGCCCCCGTCCTGCACCGCTTCCCAAGGGAACACTCGCTATCAGGCGCTCCGATGGCCTCTGGGGAATAGGGACAAAGTCCCTCTCAAGTCCAGGGACTAAACGGCTTAGCTAAGCAGAAAAGTTCAGCTCCAACCCGTCCGGCAGAGCACTGTGCTGACCTTTCCAGGCACTAAGACCGTGCTTATAAATATAAATATATAAACACAACAATAGGTATTATATATAAAAATATGTATTATATATGTATATAATATGTATATCATATGTTATATATGTATATAATATATATGTATATAATATGTATAGGAAGGAGGTGAAACTTGGCTGAACAAATATATATATGTTATATATTTTTATTTATTTATATTTTATATATATATATATATATATAATATGTATCTCAGCCTCAGGAGCTGGGAAAGTGAGTGGAAGTGACACCACCATAAGGATCCATCCCCCTATGGTCAGGATGACTCAGAGCACCTGACAAAGCAGCAGAAATGAGGATATCTCACAGAAATTATACGTTGCAGGGAAGGCAAACAGCATTAATTTCACCACCAGCACTGCCCCCGTCGCTGGGTTCCCCACGGAGGGGAGAGGTTTTTCCCGGCAGTTTCCTAAGTTGCTGTGCAAAATCATCATCTCTTGGCCTGTGTCCTTATAGCTGGGAGTGGGGAAGGAGGAGGAAGCCTGGTGGGCTTCATTCAGGCCACAGAGGATGGACATTCCATGACTCAGTGGCTCCCCGGGCTGCTCTGGCACGTGGGGCTGGGTGTGTGACGGCAGCAGTGCCTCTGGCAACGACTCCCTGTCACAAACATTTCATGCTCAGCTGGGAGCTGCAGCATTGCCATCGTTCCCCTTCCGCTGAACACTTCATTAAATGTTGTCCCTCTCCAGCGTCCTCCGTGCAAACGAGACGGAATTGCCTGTGTCCCCTCCATATGGCACCGCTGCGCTGCCCAAGCACCAGGATGGAAAGTTTCATCTCCCTTCACCACACCTGGTGACACGTCACCTGTCCCTGTGGTGTTTCCATCCCCATATCTCCTTCCTCCCGTGTCCCCTGCGGGTCCTTCATGCCTGGGCAGAGCAGGGGCTATTCCAGCTCGACTCCCACATCCCAGCTTGTCCCCAAGACAAGGCGAGAGCTGACAGCATCAGCTGCCTGAGTTCACTCTGAGGAGGCAGCACAGCCAGGCGTGGGGTTCTGATCGGGCCTTTGGGCTGGAATAATCCTGGGATGAATCTGCAGCATCCATCTGCCAGGCACCCCAGATCTGCCCCCGTGGGCACCCCAGGCCAGGCTCCCCCCTGGCCCCACACACAGAGGTGTGTTATCAGCAGCTGCTCACAACAGTCACAGCACCCTCGCTACAGCCCCAACCTCCTCATGGGTGGCTGGCTTTGTCCTTCAAAAGGAGCCAAGGAAAAAAATCTGGGGGGAGCCAGACTCTTTCTGCCAGGTAACAGGTTGGCTGCTTCCCTCCTGCACTCACCTGAGAAATGGCAGCTCCCAGGGGAGCAGGGACATTCTCCTGCAGGGACACCCAAACAGGAGGGAACAAGGGTGGGAAGGAACCCTGGCACTGCAGGGGCCATGTTAAAACACCTCTACAGAACACACAACACCCCAAAGACCTCCTCCCACCCTTCTCTTTTAAAGCCCTTCCCTCCTGGCTGCCTGGAATCAGGTGTGTGGAGAAGGAAGGGCTGTTTAACCCCTTCCCAGCTGGATCCTCGCTCGGCAGCCTCAGCTCAGGGATGATGCTGTGGCCTCTGAGTGCCCTCAGCCTCTGCTTTGCCCTCCGGGTCCCCGAGCACCCTCCTCCTGCCCTCATTCCTGCTGCCCTGTGGGGTGCTCAGAGCCCTCCCGGCCATTGGGGTGGATCCCACTGGCATTGTCACTTCCCTGTGCTCTTTCCCAGCTGCTGAGGCTGAGATGCAACAAGTTTGTTTGTTCTGCTGCAGGGCAGCCCCCAGCACAGCGAGACACACCTTGGAGGGGTTTGGTGTCCCAAAATCATCCCACCCTGTGTTCCTGAGATTCCTCCTTGGGGAATCAGCAGCTTCATCCCCGCAGGGGGAAGGCCCAGCAGCCTGGGGGTCCCCCAGGATGGCTGTTGGAGGTGCAGGGTTGGGATCAGCCCCTGAGGAGCCCGGGCAAGGGTGGCGGGCAGAGATCACGCTGTTATCACTGCCACAACCAGCCTTTCTCCTGGAAAAGGGAACGACTCTGATTTCTCTGCGGGCTGAAGGTCACACTCGGTTTTACAGCCAGGCAAAGGAGAAGAAAGGAGCAATTCTGTTTACTTAGGGAGTAATTAATATCCCAGCTCCTGGCATGTACAGAGGCAGCAGGAACCTCCCCCACAGCGCGGTGGAGAGCGAGGCTGTGCAGCCCTTTATTATTCCATTATGAGCTGGGCAGGATTAGGAGGGCGGGTCAGGGAACAGCGCCGGCTTTGAGCAGGTTTAGCTCCTTTCCAAAGGCTTATCCCGGCTCAGTCTCACTCTCTGGACACCACTCAGTTATTCTCTGCACAGAGGGGCTTGAGCAATGCTGGAGGGGGAGAGTGGGCAGGGGGTCGTGGAGCTTTAATAGCCCAGCAGGGAAAACCTGGGAGGTTCCTTTACCAGGAACTCGGTTTATATGTTGAATTTCAGCAACCAGGGAGGGTAGTTCCTCAGCTCTGCCAAGTCCTGCATTGCTCCCCAGGGAAAGCCAGGCCTCGGTGCTGCTCTGGGGCAGTTCCGTGGGGTGGGACGGCCATTGCAGGCAGTTTCCTGCAGAGCCGGATGAGGTTTTGCTCTTTATTCTTAACCAAGTTTCTCCCTGGAGCCCGGGTGGGGTGGCCGGAGCGTGCCTGGCAAGGAAAGAGGAGCTGTGGGAACTGAGGCTGCAAATGCCTCTCCTTCTTTCCCAGGCCAGAAGTTGGGGGCTGCGGTGGGATGCTGTGCCCCTCATAAGTAACTCCACGCTGGGAATGCTGCCCGCAGGCATCCAGCCTCGCAGCAGGAATCACTCCTGGATGGGGATCAAGCCTCCCAGGCCACCCCCAGCCAGGTGGTTCTCATTGCAGCCTCTGACTCACCTCTCAAAAATTCCTGCACTCCCATCATGGCAGGAAACCGCTACAGGGAAGTGGTGAAAGCCCTTCGAGGGCCTGAAATTCGGCTTCCCCCAGCCGAGGGGGAGATCAAACAGCCGACTTTGGCCTCAATCCCTCTGACGCCAGGGCTTGTCATCGGAGGGGGGGGTGTCTCGGCTGAGCGAGCGGGGTGTGTGGTTCCTCCAGACTCAGCAGCTTTTTGCCGGGTGTTTGGGAGTGTTTTCCCCGAGGAGGCCTGAGCTCAGAAATATTTTTGAGCAAATAATCAGCTGGGAGGAATGATCTCAGCTTGTCGGCATTGTTCAGGCTTCCCGGTGAACCCTGTGGTCCCGGGCTGTGCCGGCAGCTGTGGAGAGCTCGGCAGAGGGTCAGGGTTGGGCAGCAGCCACCCAGCAGTTTGCAGAGCCTGGCTGAGATTTAGGAGCTGACAGAAAACCCCCAGCTCCTTGGAGACTGGGAATCCTCCAGGGCCAAGCCTTGGGCCCTGAGTGAAGCTGGATTGTGGGGGATACCTGCTGCTCCTGGGTCATGGAGGCAGGGAGAGGGTGCAGCTGCTTGCCCAAGTTCTACAGCAAATCAGTGGCAGAGCCCAGACCTGTGTCCCAGCTCAGGTGGGATGTGATCCCAGTCACCCTCCTGCAGGAGATAACTCTGTTAGTCCTGTCCCCTCCTGCTCCGTGCTGGTCCCCTGTGTCAGCACCAACCCCAGGGCCAGAGGGGCTGAGCTGCAATCCCTGGGCTGGCTCTGCACAGAAACGGCTCCGTCTCCACACCGGCCGCTCCTGCAGGCGCTGCCTGGAAAGTTCCCACTGCTGCAGTCGGTGCCTGTCCCCCTGCCAAGCCTGCAGCCCTGCCAGCCGCGATGCAGCGCCGAGACGCGCTATTTATGGCTCCACCTTGAGACATGTACCTTCAGCGGTGGGAACGATGCTAAAAGGGATGGATCTGGGATGAGTGCATCTCCCTCCCGTTCCCGTCCCTGGGCAGCTGCCGGCGGATGTGGCAGAGCAGGCAGGGATCTGGAGGAGCTGCGTGTCTCGAAGGGAAACGCTGCAGCTCATCTTGCAGCAGAGCCATGTCCTCTGCACAACTCCTCCGGGGCTGCGATGAAGGCAGTGGGATCCCAAAATCCAGGCCTGCCCTGACACCGACTGTTCCAGGTCTGTGCTGCAGCTCCCGGGATTCATCAGCAGGGGCATGAAGGGTTACAGCAGGGCTGGAAAGCCCCCAGCCTCTGTGCTTTCT